CACGATCGGGAACGTGGGAAATACTGTCTGACGCGTCTGCCTCCGTGACCCGAAAGGAGAAGCGGTCATGGAAGATGAAGATACTATATATACTTGGTGTATTTCTTTAGTAGTAGTGTGTTGATTACCACTCCAATCCGGCAGTTTTGCATGATGAGATTCGACTGTCAACAAATAACGTGGTTGGGCTTGGCTTCCATGCGTAGCCGAATAGAGGAAGGAAAGATTCGACTTCCACGGCAGAAGTGTGTTTTATTTCCTTCCTTAGTTGGTAAAATAGGAATGCTGCCATTCTTGGTAACTATCCTGTTCTGCCTGGGATATATAGTATTTAATGTATTTTTTATGTATAGTGTCATTGCTGCCTTGCGATTTAGACGTCGATTCGTCAAAGGCTAGAAATTACAATCGATAAAAAGCGACACAGAATTGGGGAACGTGTTTGTACTAAATCTTTCATGTCAGCCATGCCAGTGGATGGCCAAACTTTGTGCTGTGAAAACACGAATAAATGAGCCTCTGCCCTCTGCTTCTCTCGATCTGTTGCACGTTGGCGGTTCGACTGGCGAGAGGCGGCAAAGAGTTCCTGATGAAAGGCCACCGTTTAACAGACGGACCCGGAATTCGCGCACTTTTTGCTCCTACAATTCATGAGCACTGACAGTGGATGAACAGTGGCAAGGTATGAAACGTTAAGCCAACAAATGAGCGAAAGGTCAGTGATATCCTGCGACATTTTTGGCCTCTGTGGGACACGACGGCGGACGCAGATGAATGGCTAAGATAAGGAGAGATTTGAAATCAGATTTGTGTTCAGTGAAACCTGCCTCCTCCAAATTATCTTCTGTCAGGGGGAAGTCATCAAGACTGGGCGCTCTGTAACCAGCTGAACAAGAAGAGTAAAGTTCGTCGGAAAGTACGGCACGAGAGAGCGAAATGAACGAAAAGATGGGTTGGTTACGAGAGCAGAAATGAAACGCCTGGTTCAACAAGAAGACCAGCGCAAGGAGGAAATGGATCACGCTCAAAGCAACGATAAAAAATGAGGTCGACTTCGTCCTGTTCGATAAACACTGCATCATCCGAGACATATCAGTGGTTACACCATTTAAAGCATTGAACAGCGAATGGTGAACGCCAGGCACTGTAGATGGCAAATCGCAGACAAGGACTGAAAGTATTGGATGATGTGGTGCTCTAAGCCCGTATTTCCAGCGTGGGCTGAGGCCTGCAAGACACCTGCTAAGACGACCAGAGAAGTTCGCCTAGAAACTGACTCGCTGTATGTAGTCAACCGAGTTGGTAACATCAAACAGCGGAAGGAAGGATTTCAGAAGGAGGAAGAGTTTACTATGGCGGTGGAGTACTCAATTCTCAGCAGATTCGTTAGACGAAAGCTGTATGAGGACTTCGCGACCTTCCGAATGCGGAAATTACAGACAACAGCCGAATACTGCAGAAGCCTCTGGCAATGCAGGAGAGAGTTAGCGCTTTATCAGAACGACCATCACGACGTTGAGAAACGGGGATAGTGCATTAACATCTGACAGCTGATATGCAGTCAATCTCTAACGACATTTGCACCCAGCTTTTTGCGTCAAAGACACGCATTCCCCTACCCTTACTCCAGCAGCCAAAGGAAAGTACACTCCCGGTCCTCATGGGCGAAGTTCGGAATGCAACGACGCAGTAAATGAAGGATGGATGAACCTCAGGCAAAGACGGTCTGACAATTGAAATGATCAAACTTGGTGGTCAGACTCTGCTGAAGGCTCCAACGGAGAGGTTCAATTGCTGCTTTGAAACGGAAACGGTACCGACAAACTGAAAGGAGTCAAAAACAGTTGTGTAGTTGAAGGAAGGCGAGAAGGAAGATTTGAAGAACTCTCACCCATTTTGCCTGCTCTCAAGTGTACACGCTGTTTACTAAGAGCATCACAAACTATCAATAGTTTGGACGAACAGCAGCCAAGAGAAAAATCAGGATTTCAAAGGAACTATAGCGCAACGGATGATGTCTCTACTTTTAATCAACTCGTCGAGCCCACCAGGTAATTTCAACTCCTCCTGTGTAAAGCCTTCGTCGACTTCGAGAAGGCGTTCGATATTGTCGAGTTTAACGCAGTGTGAACTGCATCATCAGGAAAGAATATAGCCACCCGTTACACCAACCTGCTTAAAAAAGTGAACTGGTCGGCTCACAAACATCACGCTGTTCGATATCCTCCTCAGGATTGCTGTAGAGAAGAACGTGAAATAGGGAGACACCGTCTGTCACCCCATGCTCTTCCTATACCCCACCCCTCCCCATTTACTGACTGTTTGACAGTGATGTTCCAGAGAATGAATTGAAAATGTGTGATTAACTCCAACGGTAAATATCTGTCATTGGAGGTTTGCGGAAAACGCCAGTGAGCTGCAAAAGAAGCTGCAAGAGCTGTTGAGAAAAAGTGCTGAAGTCGGGCTGTAAATCAGTCGGTCAAGTACAAAGATATTGCAATCAGGTGTCCTGTGGAAGGTCTAAATAATATTACACGAAGAAAATATGGAAAAAGTTGATAAATACGTTTTCCTGGTCCATGAGATTACTATGCGGCATGATCGAGTTATAGAGATTCAGTGAAGAAAGAGGGCCTGTTGGTAAATCTTCATTCCTCCAGGGACGTTCTTCTCGGCAACATTAGGAAAGAAACCCTTGTCCACCTCTTTATTTCTGCTGTCCTGCCGGTAAGGTTGTATGACTGTTTTGGGTCACGGGTTTTATAAAATTTGTTTAACCAGTGACATGGACCAAAAGTACACTTTGGCTCAATGCGCCACAACGGCTACGGACCACACATCACACTGCAGAGACCAACCTGGACCGCCCTGAGAAAGGTTAAAAGAGACGAACCGGAACATCAGTACTGGTCAATCACTTATTCGATTGCGTTGTGTATAAATTAATCGTTTTTATGCTTTTTCAATTTTTAAACATAGATTCAAACGCAAGAACAAATCATTCAGCTGATATTATGCGCATGATATGTTTATCTGCTGGGTCGTATGAATTCAGCGGGAAAAAAATTATTTCGGATCCTCATACGCTGTTAAATATGATATATGCTTGTGCTTTTGTAGTGAAAAGAGAATGGTGGAGAATGGGGAACACCTGACTCGATTGGAGAAGCTGATCACCCTGTTGGAGGCGAAGAACCCGATTGTACGTCAACAGGCGGTCGAACAACTGGGAAATGTGTGTGACAGCGACAGCAGGTCATTGGGTGCTCTACTGGACAAGTTAAGGACGTACTTGTTCAGCACTAATTGGGATACGAGAGTGGCATGCGCAAGGGCGATTCGAGAGATTTGTCAAAATTTGAAAATTCACCCTGTTGAGGTGCAGGAAGTCGAAGACGCAGCAGCT